ATGGCAGTAAACACTGTGTGTTGCTATAGGGATGTCACATTACAGCCGTTCACAGGGAATTGTGAGAGCTACTCGGTACGCCGCCAGGCACGCCGCCGTCACAAAAGCTGTCCAAACTCAGTGGGAGTCATTCCCCTGACCGCAGTGGGGTTTGGATCAGGCTTTAAATACAGAGCAGACATCGGTCAGGTGGCGGGGGACAACCTGAATTCACCCCCTGGCATTTTAACGGGTCTTAATGACACAATCACATAGTATTTCTTCCTCAGGTCCCTTGCCTCATTCAGTGCTCTTCCCTCTGCCTAGCTCCTAGGGGAGAAGCCTCCACACCGAGCAGTCCCAGGAGTGTCGACAGCCGGGCTGCTGGAGCATTGTCCACGTCGGCCCAGTCAATGACTCGCCTCTCTCCCAGCCAAGTGCTAAACACATTGATTTTTCTTTACAGCCTCCTGTGGCCTGTGGGGTGGGCTTGTTCCCATTTTACAGATGGAGAACTGAGGCACAAACAGATTCCAGTCAAAACGATTTGCTAGTTTTAGGCCCCTGCCTTGAGACCCTTGGGCGCTGGGAGTGCTCAGCACTTCTCCAAATCCACCCAGGCCCTGTTCACCCTTTCCAGCGCCTCGTCCAGGCTGTCTCTCCCCTCCCAGTCCTCGTCTCTCTCCGTTTTTCCGAAAAAACTTCACTTACATCCACACTGCAATCGCCTTCTTTCACAAAAAACTGGAAAGAACAGCGGGATTTTTCCGACATTGGTAAACCTCTTTCTCCGAGGAAGAAGCCTTTTTCCAAAGAGCTCTTTGGGAAGAGGCGTGTGTGGATGGGAAGGGGGGTTCTTTCGCAAGAAGAGGAAAGAGGAAGAAGCAGAGATGCCCTGGTGGCCACTCCGTCCATAGTACTCACATGCGAGAGAGCGTGCATTCCCTGTGGATGCTCTCTGGCGAAGACGCAGATGGCTTTTCCGATGCGCTTTGGCAGTGTGGACGCTCTCTTTCGGAAGACGTTTTTTCGGAAGCTCTCTTCCAGAAAAGCTTCTTCCGAAAGACGCCTGCAGTTTAGACGTGGTCCCTGTCTGATCTGTCTCCTCTTGTCCCCATTCTCCCCTGCTGGTGTACTCCCTGGCTTGTTGGCTAGGCCCGTTGGCAGCGCAGGAGAGAGGCGCCCAGCCGCCCCCGGGCCCACAGCAACCATGACAAGACAAGACCAGCTTCACTCCGCAGCCCCCAGCTGGAGCATGCTCAGCCATTCTGTGGGCGTGGCATGCACGCCGTCTTCTCGGCCGCGGGAGCTGGGTGGGGATGGAGCACGCTCAGTGAGGGCAGATCCTGCTGGGAGTTGGTTGGCAGCGCAGGAGAGAGGCGCCCAGCCGCCCCCGGGCCCACAGCAACCATGACAAGACAAGACCAGCTTCACTCCGCAGCCCCCAGCTGGAGCATGCTCAGCCATTCTGTGGGCGTGGCATGCACGCCGTCTTCTCGGCCGCGGGAGCTGGGTGGGGATGGAGCACGCTCAGTGAGGGCAGATCCTGCTGGGAGTTGGTTTCTGCTCAGCAAATGCAACCTGCAATTGCCCCAAACCCCATCCCTTGGCCACATTTGGGTGGGTTTTCCCGGGGATAGCCCTGACACAAGGGCTGCCACCCTGCCAGATCTTGAGTCTCTGCCCCAAGGCACAGGGGAGCTACAGCTGTTTAAAGAGAAGGTTGTGGGAATTTTTTTTAAGGTGGCCAATATATTTATTTTTATCCTAGCCTTCTTCTTGGAAATGGCTGAACCATCCTGACAGAAATTTTCCAAACGTATTCAGCCCAAAAGAGCCACCTGGTACGAAAAAGTTCAGCCCAAATGGTTCAGCCAAGTGCACAGTCAACCTGTGGAACTCCTTGCCAGAGGATGTTGTGAAGGCCAAAAGGTGTGTGCAGTACCTTTGCTCCCACTGTAACCTTCCTCTTCTCTGCCCTGGCATTGGAAATGTGGCCAGTGTCCTATCAGAAGCCACAGCAGGGCTCCTAAATTCCTCCTTGCAACGTCTCCCCAGGGGTTAGCCCACTCACTGGTGTTGACTCCCAGCGTTTGGCATGATGGGTGCTCTTCTGCAGGAAGCCCCAGTCTTTGTCCTAGTCCATGCAGCACCTGCTGTTGTTTCTTCTCCCCGGCTGCTTCATCCCAGGAGCCCTCCTGGCCAGGGACCCCTGCTCCCTCTGACTGGCAAGAGAGGCAGCCGTGCACAGCTGGGAGCTGGCATTGTGACATAAGAGGTGGCTTAGCTTGTCATTACACACCACAGCTGGCTTTAATCTAGTTGCATGCTGCAATGCTGCATGCTAAACTTCCTTAGTGAGTCCATGTATTAATAACATGCGCCGAATGATCCGCAATGAGACAGTTAACAGAGTAAGTTCTGTAGCTACAGGGGACGTGTGGGGCACAGACATGGGAGTAATTTTGCTCTGGCAGGAGGGTGGAGTAACTGACCTAACGGGTCATCGATTCGCTTATGAGTCCTGCTGTGACTTCTGTTTAGCGGCTCGTGGTCAGCTCCGTGGAAGGGTGAGGTGCTCGTCAGGGTCAGAGTCTGCTTGGCAGCAGCGTGGATGGGGAAATGTTTTTACACCAAACTGGAAGCACATTTATCTGAAAAGAAATAATATTCCACCTACAGTGAGTGGGTGAGGGCCCCATGCCTGCGCTGGGCGTGGCTGAGGATACACTACACATGGGAAAGGGGCAAGAACTTGGCAGGATTCCCCCTTCTCCCCCCAGCTCAGGATCTGTGTGTGTAATGCTGCATCTCATGCCCCAGGGGCTGACAGCACATGCGGGAGAGGGGTAGATTAAGACACCACAAAGGCACAGCTGTGTGCACAATTCCCCAGCCTCCGCCCCACCCCGTCCGCTTCACATGCCGGGTTATGTTCCCTTGAAGTCGCACGGAGGTTCTGAGTAAATTTGATCATCGCTAGGGTGGCTCCTATCAGTGAACTCCTGCTTCCTGTTCCAGCCCACAGAGCTATTTTCTCTCTTCCTGAGAGCCCCCCGCCCACCCCAGCGAGTGACCCGATGTGACAGACCCGCCCCTTTTCGAAGAAACCGAAAGGATGATAAACAAAACTAGGTCTGAGTTCAAAAGGGCAACTTAAAATATGAAGGGAATTACACTGGACTGAAGAACTGAATGTAGAAGAGACTTGGAATCACTGTAAGTCAAAGTTGCAGACGCTATCCGAAGCCAGCATGCCATGCACGGGTAGGAGGGAGTCATAGGAAAGGGTTGCAGACCAAGCTGGAAGAACGAGCATCTCAAAAAAGTTACTAAGAAAAAGCAGCATGC